CAGGACTCAGGCCATGGCATCCAATTTCTTGGTTTTTGGAGAATCTGTTAGAAGCAAGCAACGCAATCGAGTGCTATTTGCCGTATACCTGAATTAATTTCAGGCCATTTGTCGGGCCAGGGATTTCATTTTATCGACACACATATAGCCCTCATGTAAATCTTTCAGCACTACACTTTTTAACGTCGGCGGAATTATGGTTTGGTCATTGATACAGAAGACACCATCGGGTTGAATAGAAATTTCTTCTCTACGTTGGTATGAGTGGAAACCGTCGCTTCGTTTTAGCTGACCACCCCTTTTTCATGGCAGAAATCGCAGGATGATAATAAGCACGGGTTTCACGAACCAGATCACTATGTGACATGGGAAGCGGTTGGGTAGATAGACACATATTGAAAATCTTGGAGAACTTGGCCAATCTCCATAAGAAATAGAAATGTGGAACAGTTTTCCGGGGCCTATACTTTATGTCATAATCATAAGCTGCCAATACCAGTGCCCATCGTTGAAGCATTGCTGCAGTTGTCTTGGATGTGGGCTTGTCGGGATTAGATATGTAATGTAGCGTTTGGTGGTCTGTGACGATTGTAAACTTCAAACCGAATAGGTGCTTATGTAGTCGTTTAACAGCTCAGTAGACCGCCAAAGCTTCTTTCTGAGTTTGAGAATAACCTGTTTCTACTTTGTTGAGAACCCGAGATATGCATATGGCAGGAGAACCATCCTGTTCTAATACTGCTCCTACGCCAACTTCAGAGGCGTCAGCTGTAACCGTTATGGAGGAGGTTGGGGAAAACGATCTAAGGACTGGGCGTTCTGCAATCCTGTCAATTAGAGCAAGTAAAACACGCTCATGTTGAGGACTCCAGCGCCAATTATCAGCGGTTAGTAAATCGAATAAAGGTTGCGTCAGAGTTGCAAAGTTCGATATAAAATTGGAGTAGTACTGCATTAGTCCAATAATGGAGCTTAACTCCGCAACCTCTCTAGACGACATGCAGTGCATTGAGAGAGCTAGTTGATAGTTGTCAGGTCTAGAACCATTGCTCGAAATACGAAGTCCAAGAAACGTCAATTCCTTAAGATCGAAAATGCATTTCATAGGTATGTTCAGCACATTCTTCTCCTTAAACCGTTTAAGTAATGTCACAAGTCGTCGGTCATATTCCTCTCTATGGGTTGCAAAAAGTATCACATCATATTGGTAGCACGAACGCCATCGAGACTACGAAGGATTTCATCGATGGCTAATTGAAAAATGCCGGAAGACATGTGCAATCTGAATGGAAACGACTTGTACTGATACAGTCCCAATGGAGTATTAATAGTCGTAAGTCCCTGAGATTCTTCGGCCAGTGGGATTTGCAGGTAAGCCTTGGCAAAGTCGATCTTTGTAAAAATGAGTTACCACTCAAGGACAAAAAATCTCCAGGCTCCTCAGCCGTTGCACTACATCGACGCAGTCTGGGGATTAGAGTCAGTACAAAATCAGAGCTATTACATGAACGCAAACTGTCATATCGGGTTTTATCTTTTCGTACTCATTGTGTCCTCCAGCTTCGAGATCACCGTTTACACGCATGGTTATGACTACATATACCTTCTGTTATTCTTTCGATTAGCGCTTTGCCTGTTTAAGCTCTCTCCACGAAATGTCTGCAAAGATGCGGTTGTAACATGACTCCTTCAAGACGGCTAGCTGTCGTTTACTGCTTCTGTTTCAAAATTACGCGGAGGAGTCTCAATCCACTTTAATACTTAGAGTTTGGGTGGTGAGTGACCCGTGTCCAGTTGGCGAGCTTAACTACAACACCTAGGAAGTCACATTAATTTCCACTGGTCCACATCATCGGGTTGCTTTCATTTTTAGAACTATGACTTCAATCCTCGGACGTTGGTGCAGATCACCGATGGCAGACTATGTGGTCTCTTAACAAGACTTGTGCAACCTACGTTAAGCTCAACCGCGCCGCTGTTCCGTAATCTATTGGATATAGGTTTACCCATTTCATTCATTTTGGGTCCGGTGGGAGTAACTGAAGGCCTAAATTTCCTGGTGACTTTGGAAGCCACCACGTTCCAACCAACACACGTGCCGACGCGTTTCTGTGATTCCGGAACAGTCTGGAGCGCGGACGAGGCATTTTCCGTAATTATTTAAAATCGGACTGGCTGTGGTTGCTTCAGGCCTGTTTGGGCCTCTGGTATTATTGAGGTTCAAAGCGACGAATGGAGCATTTTTAACGCGCTTTCCAACATTGAGGCTCAGTTTTGATGCGGTGTTTATTGAGGAGGACTGAGTTTTACTCTCTGCCACGCTTTCGTATATCTTATATGTTTACTGGTCGCCACCAGCCCTTCGTGTTCCTGAGATACCTGCTGTACAGTCTTTACCAGTGGGATGACCACAGAGAAGCTGGTCTACTATTGTGAACCTTCAACTAGTTTACTGTAAGTTTAGAACACGTAGAATGAAACTTTGCAAGGTGACGATCGGTGGATTCCTCTTCGTAAACTATTTGCACGAGGATAAGCCACATACTACTGTCCTTTATGACATCTTTTGCTTGGTTTGTATGGTAAATTGCGAGTACCATGTACTCCTGGAAATTATAAAATCAAGCTTAGTTTTTTTACAGATAGACTGCACTTACAGGCAGTACCGGAATTAGTAGTAGTAGTAGCAGTGTAGCAGTAGTAATAGTAGTAGTTGTTGTTGCTGCTGCTGCTTCTGTGGTCATTGGGTCGAACAACCAACGCAAATACCAAGGTTTGCTGTTTCAGCGACAGAATATTATGAATGTTAGGATAGAGAAGCAGAAAAAGAAAATCCAGATAGCTGAATCGGCACATATACCATATACGTTGCCCAATGAGCCAGTGCACAGAATATTATCGATCAAGAACGAGCAAGTGGGTTGACGAAAATGATTTGACTGTTTGAAATCGTCCAGCAATTATAGTGTTTGTTTGGTCTCATCTGCAGTATGTGGTAGTAGGCGAACCCTTTTGATGCATTTTGGAATTGATTCACAGATAGGGAAATGGTCTATGTCTCATCTGCAAGATGTAAAGTTATTCGAAGTAACCGAGGTTCGCCATAGTGCATTGAGTTTAAGTGCTGCGCTATTCGTCTCAGCGTAGTGGGATCAGTAAGGATCCCAATGACACTACAGGTGGAATTCAATTGATTACAATATTTTATCAGCTTCAACTCAAGCCTCGAATGTGCTTTATGCACCCATAACTTGTGAATATTAAGCTCTAACAAACAAGTTAAGTATAGAGAGAATAATGAAATAGCACATTACATGAGGATAATTACAAAACCACTTTATTGCGTTAGATTGATTTGCGCACGTCAGGGCACATCAGACTCTAGGCACCATGGTTCTGTCTGGTGGCTACCGGCTTAAGAGCACTATATTTGGTTGTGTTCAGTAGATTTGTGAGTAAAAGTAGCGACAATAATCCACGCTGCGACACTTCAGGTTTGCTTAGTCATGTAGGTGGAGACACCGATATACTTTCTGGCGTTTCCATGAGAGCAAATGATACAGTTGATGCCCAGGCCATTATTGTCAACCGTGGACTGGTTGTAGCTTTGGAGTTAAAGTATATCAACTAAATTACTGGTTGCTGAACTTTTAAGAATGTGGAGGCAAGCTAGCTGTAAACGAACTGTTCACTTAGAGGATTGAAGTGAGTTGCGACAGTCAAAGATAGACGCTAAGGTCGCTGTCTTCTTTCACCCGGGTAGGAAGTTTTAGGGGTTTGTTGGGACACAATCGTGACTGCGTTTACTTTCCCAAGTGGACCCATGGCACTCACCAGGTGCCAAACTGCTTCCGTCAGCTGATTACACTTTTTTGTTAGAACGATTGAACAACCTACAACCGGGATGACTTTGCACACAGCGGAACAAAAACAACTCCGTTTCGCTGTTGTACTGGCAAGCTTCAAGTGGACTTGGTCCTGGAAATTTACAGAGAGACGCTTTAGAGCATTTGCAGCCCAATATTCCCGTCTAGTCGAATTTAACACGGTCGTATTAACCTTTGCGGTTTACTAGCACAGGTTTTAAGGTCAATCAACCGTCCAATTTTTCAAGTCTCATGTTGATAATTTAGTAAATCAGGCGGTAAGCGTGTGCGCAGTCGTTCGACTATAGTCGCTAGTCAGATAAAGACGCGCACTATGTTAGTCAAAGCGTCGATGGGTCTCCGGTCTGACTGAGCAGAGGTTCGTTTCTGAAGTTCATTGCAAACGATCTAGATATTCGGAATAGGTGTGTGGAAATTCTTACAGTGCCTCTTGGGAAACACCGTATTAAAATCAGTATGGGATAGTAGGAAATGCTCGATTCCTGCGTTCGTACGATGTCACACAGCTGAGGATTAGGTTCAAGATCCGTAAAGTCATGCGCGTAGGTTTATGCAGGACAGTCGTTTGAAGCGATTAGTTTGCAGGAATCGGGAATCGTTGAAGATACTGTCGCGTATGATGATTCAAAGAATAGCGCTAGTAAATTCGATTCATATGAGCGTAAAATGACTAGGATGCGAGAAGGTAGAGAGGAGCAAAATACGTAGGAATTAAACGCAAGAACTAGGCGCCTGTGTGTTTGCGACCTAATGAAAATAAGATAGGCGAAGTGGTAACTTAAAACTAGATGTCAAATCCCGTTCCGGTCAAATTCATAAGACGATAGATTTTTTCTTTTTTTTACGGAGTGTTTGGCCAATTTCGGGTAGCATACAGCCTACAGCACTAAACGCCATTGATCTAATCGAAGAGATTCGATGAGGCACACACGGGTAAAAATTGCTTCGTTAGGGGACAACGAGGAAAAAGAGAAGGAATCCTCTGGTTGAATACACATAAAATTAAGGGGCAATTCACATAAACTATCTTACTACGGTCACACAAAAGATAATCGTACTATTGATGCCAAAGAGACTGAACCTTTCAACTCCTTTAAACTGTTCCCATTTCAGCGGTCCAGAAGACAACGTCTTTCTTTATTTTACCGACCACGGTTCCGCAGGCTTGATTGCTTTTCCAAACGGTGAGGTAAGATACCAGACTCTCTGATGTGCCACTTGCTACTAGAAAGAAATCAGTTCGTCGAATAAATTCGAATTCATTTCATTAGGTTCTTATCGTAGTATTTTGATACCTGCTCGTGACCAGCAAGGACTTTAGCTAGTTATTTCACAAGGTGGGTGTCCAAGGTGATCTAAAGATGCGCAGCATGGTGGGCTGCAATGCAGAAATAGTTCACTTGTCGAAGTAAGAAAAAACGTCCTGATGATGTAACTCCGATGAGTTTGGGAACAGGTCCACTTACAGTTTGGCCGCCCAGCCGCACACGAAGCCATCCACTACTCTCTTCACTCTATAGTGTAGCACGATAACTTTTGATTGTGGGTGGGTTAAGCACATAACGTTTCCATCTTCTGCGCTATTGGGCTTGAAATAGAAGAAAAATAACACCCCACGTTGTGTCTGGATTTGGACACGGAACCTCCAAGGAAGAAACCGTAGGTCGCGGAGTGTAGAAATGGGAGAGAGCAACGCCGAAACCCAGTGATCAGAGTGACTCAGAGGGTTTTTAAATTTAACCGTAACCATAAATGAGATGGCGGGTAGTCCAAGACCAAATAATGAACTATTAATCACTGTGTCAAGCGCTTTTGTCGAGCTCTGGTCCAGTGACCAAGAGGAAAGCCGTCAACAACTGTGTCGGGTTCCGCTCTCAGCTCAAGCTATTTCTGCTTGACCAGTTCAAATCAAGGCGAAATCAGTTGCAGGTGGAGCGCAGTATTGGGAGATAGCAGCTCCGAAACTCTCCGTTTCGGATGCGGCTCTTGTGAGAAAAACAGCCCATTTACTCAATATACATGGCAGTTAAAATCCCATCATAGACACTTCGACTATAATCTATATCCTTTAATTAAATCCATTATATCTGGTGTTTGCCGAAATGCCCTAATCTATATGACTCACAACATCGTTCACACAAGTAACATTGAAACGCGTCATAGGAGTGCAATTTTTTCGACGGGCAATACCCAATTTCTATCTGCAGCGATGTAGTCTCTTCTCTGCGGTCGATGTGACAGAACTGGTGAAGGCCGAGAGAATACAATCCCATTAAAACCTTTTTCGTTTATTTATCAAGCGTTGTTTGGCCACAAGAATTACCGCTTTTATGTTATGTGAAAAATTCCACCTTACTTCATAGAAACCGTCTTGTTTTAGTCGTTGGTGACGCGGCTGGAAACAGCTCTTTGAAATACACATTATCAATAGCTTATGGTGAACGCTGAACACAATATCGTGCCAAACAGTTGAACGGGCATTATTAGATGTGACGGACCACCGTGCGGTTTAGTTCCCTTACATCATTTCCTCATTTATCCACAGCTGTACGCTCGAAAACTGAACGAGACAGTCACAAAAATGCATGCGTCAAAACGTTACAGCAAATTCGTGATGTATGTGGAGGCATGTTATTCTGGCTCCATGTTTGACGGTATACTCTCTTCCAAAATAAATGGTAAGTCAATTCTTCTCTATTGCTACCTATATGTGGAAGGCTGGATCTAAGCACCTGCGCTCAGTTACCACAGAGGATAGACACGTTTCTGGTTCTCAGAAGACATATGCGAATGGTCATATTTAGTGGGCTTGACAGTCGCCCATACAATGGTGGCTCATCTATGACAGACCGTCTACGTATGATAGCCAAGTATGGACTAATGTCGATTTGTAAACAGGCTGCGCGTGTTAGCGAAAACAGGACGGAGCCCAATCGGTAGCAATCACTCATGAGTCCCGGTATTGGATTACGATGTTTTTCAGCATCAAACTGGTTAATCATCTAAAGTAACGAAAGCAATTGCAATACATTCCATCGGCACCAGGACTCAACCAGCTCCAGCCTATTGTTAGCAGCTGAAACATCCCATTTGTGGGGTCCAGACTGATTTAGCTACCAATTGCCACAACCTGCACAGTAAGTCACTGGATGGAGGTAGCAAGAAGAAACATCCAAGTCAGGGTTACTGAGACGCAATGAACTCAAGGAGCCGAGTGGCTGATTCGCCCAACCACGTCTTACTGCTCTTCTGTCCAATCACGGTGAACTAACGTGGTGCCTCTGATGATTGATGACATCTCGTTGTACGAAATCCGCGTTGACAATAGGGGCAATGAATAATGCTCATGAATTATCTGTCTGTACCAATGCATATATACACATACTTCAACCGAAAATTGGGAGCCACAAGCGTTCCAACTAGGTCACAAAATTAGCTAGTGGATGGGAGGTGGGAAGGAAAAATTAAAGTATATCCAGCGAAAGAATGTACGAATTAATACAAGATACCTGTCATGCACTCTATAGAAAATGAAGTATTATATAGGCGTGTTCTGTTTGTGAAAAGTGAACCAGTAACTTCACAAAAGTTGTAGTATGGTAAATAACTAACTGTGTGCACTTCAAATCTTTCTCTCTTGAGGATAGGAGTGCGGTTATAGCAACGCAGTCCACGCTTGTAACAAAACCTAGCAAACAGAGACCCAAGTCGACCAAACTGCTCTTTTGAGACTACACAACATTAACATTTCATTCAGCGCAACAAGTGCACAACAGCAATAGAGATGCAAGCAGGTAGTTAAGTAGGGGACCCGAGGGGAAGAAGGCCGGTAGAAATTATAGTCGGTCCACTGAATTAGGGGAATTTTAGTTTCCCTCGAGTTCAGTCCGAAAATTTCGATTCGGGATGTCTAAAATTGCAACGGGTAATACGGGTGGGTAACTACACCAATTTAAGACAGCATTCTCATATAAGCCCGTTAACCAAGATCAGTGAACTTGTTTTTTTCCAGCCTACGCAGTTACCGCTGCCAACCCGCATCAATCTAGTTGGGCATCCTTCTGCGAAGACCCAGTCATCAACACCTGCCTTGCGGACGAGTTTTCTCACAATTGGATGGAGGATACAGAAAGGGTGAGTCCAAACAGCGTTTTTGTTCACTAAAATCGAATGACAGCATACATATATAACAAACGAACCATACGCAATAGAACGTTCGCAAAAGAAAATGCCAAGATAAACCTTTAAACGAAGACTGAGAACACAATCGGTTGACACGAGTCTTCTTAAATGTTACAATGGCATGTTACAATCACCCCCATGAAACATACCGAGCAAAATAGCGTGAACGAGAAACTATAGTGAACTCATAAATTTGCGTGATAGGTCAACACGGTGTGCTGCAATTTCAGTAACCAATCCAACCAGCGATCTGGTAGTTAATGTCGGTGAGATTCGACTGTATACGTTAAGAAAACTTTCTGGACAGACCGGGTTGCGATGTACGTTGATTAGAATGAAATAATAGGTTATTAAGAACAAAACGAATATCCTTAAGATTTTGCATACGTTAGGAAGGGAAGGAATCATAAATTCGAGGATTACGAATGCGAACCAAATAAAATGCGCATCGGTGGAGCCAAAAGGTTAGGAAATATTACAAGCAGGTCTTTTGGAATGAGATAGCATCATGCAAGACGAAATAACTAGTTACCGCCGTTACTGCTTAGTGTGATAAACAAACGAACTGCTCTCTTGTCTGCATTGGTTTACGTTCACCAGTGTGGATTATAATTCCGAAGAAGTTGGTTGGCCTGAACATATTCACAGCATCCGTGCATATAACTAAAGTATAGGGAGCTGAGTGCGACATACAAACGTCTTTGAAAATGGTAGGAAATGGGGCTGAAACAACTGAGTTTAAGAGGACGTTCTAGGGTTGGTAAACCGAAAGCTGGAAGTCAGTTTGCCGACAATCTAAACAATTGTATGGTTTAAAACAGTCCGTTCACCTCAGTAATTTGAAAAGTACTGTAAGAAGACGAAGTTCGGTAGATTAACGCATTGCGTCTCTTCTCATCATTGTCGATAACGATAACTGGTAATTACATACAACCGTTCTCATCATCAGCAGCATTACATCAGCCATTTGAATTGATGCGCCGCTGCCGTACAACCACGGTGACATATGGAAGGAAGAATAATAAGAGGAAGAAAAAGGGGACTTACCTGAAAACCTTAGTGTCCTAAGCAAACATTCAGGGTCAAGGCGCCTATGCCTTGTGTCAACAATTTGCCGTCCTTAACTGCTGACTATCGTGCAAAGGTAAGACGGGATCAGCGAGACAGATTTATTGAGGCTTTCACTGGTCCGCCTCATAATCAGCCATTACCCCTCAGATAACTTAGTACTAAACACACTTTAACAGGCCCCCCGACTAGACCGCAGCATAGGCGCCACTGGTGTTGACTACGAGTCATATCCTTTAAACCAGTGGTTTCCAACCATTTTACCGCCGCGGACCGGTCAAGGTTTGATAATTCTACTGCGACCCGCTGAGGGAGGGTGTTAATCGCTTAGATTTTAGATTTTTTGATTTAAAATTGTTAAGTTAATTGTAGTTAAACATACCCAACAATAAAATAGTTACACGAAAAAGGAATATGAAATGACTTAACAGGTTTATTCATTAGAACACTAGATCAGTAAGAACCCTGAGTTTGTTTCTCTGCAACGAGACTGTTCCATCTGGAGAAAATATAACCCGAAGTAGTTTGCTTATGTCACCGCAGAAAACCCCGCTTCACACAGATAGGATGTCGGAAATGGCAATAAGGATTTAAGTACTGTAGTAGCAATCTGTGGGTACTCCGATACAACTTTAATCCAGCACACGGGTAGAGTTGTTGCCTTGGAAGTAGTTTTAAGGCCACCGACATTTGCAATCTCAAGCAGCCGATCTTGCGCAGACATGTTGGATTCACCTGGTTCGTTGACAAATAGGTCGCGGATTCATTCCTTACCAGTTCGTGGGTCTTTCGTGGTTGCGAAGTAGCGCTAGAACTCCTTTACAAATAAAGACAGGTGATCGTGCACCAACTGGAAGAATGAATGCTCAGGGTCAGCCTCGCCACGTCCAAAATGCTTGCGTTCACGCGCAGTCCCCACAACTCCAGTTTGGCTTTAACTGCAGCTATTTTGTCAGCTAACTTAAAAACAATTGTCATTCACCCCTGAAGAGATAGCTTGAGTTCATAAAGCAGGCTGAATATGTCACACAGGTAAGCCAGTTTTGCGACCCATACCTTGTCACTGAAATGTGCTGCCAGCGGTGACTTCTTTTCTGAGAGAAAGCTTTGCAACTGCTCTCGCAATGCAACTATTCTGGTTAGCGTTTTTTCTCTGGATAACCATCTTATTTCTGTGTACAAGTGAAGGCATCTAACTCCTCACAAACCTGCTCAAACAGGCGTCAGTTAAAAGCGTGTGCTTGGATGTGGTTAGTAACTTCAACGGCTATTAGATTCCGGAGACATTTTCAACTTGCCTGCATTTCCCTGTGAATGATACAATACGTAGATTCACTCTGAGCTGCAACCTTCTTAATCCGAAAAGTTAAACCAGACAGTCATCCGGTCATAGCAGGAGTTCCGTCTGTGTATACGCCAACACAAAAGGACCATTTTACAATAAATCGGAATACTTGTCGCTCGATTTGTCCTGGCGCATCCAGGGACTTGAACAGTACTGCTCCTGTGGGGTTGGTTGGCACATAACAAACCTTCATGCACATTCTCCTGACAAAGCTATCGCACATAAACAAGTAGCATTGACTTGTTGTCGATATCTATAGGTTCGTTAACCTGGAGTGTGAACCCCCGTGATTTAGTACTTCTCAGCGATCATATGTCAATGTTTTCGGCTGTTTTCTCAGTTCCCCTAGTCACGGTGTTAACCGACAAAGGCACAAGTTTATCTTTTTAACAACATCCTCTCCTAGAACTTCACGCAAATGTCTGTAGTGGATGGCAAAGTAAATTCTTCCCCGATAGTGAATGGTTATTTAGCCGCAGCAATATGGTTAGCCGTCAGACATGCTTGCAGTGCAGTCTCTTTTATGGATGTGGTGGTCCTCAGAAATTTCCTCTGTCCGTGCCCCCGTTTTTTCCTTCAAATTACTCCAGGGACTTATCTTTTAGCCCAGCGTGCTTGTTGTTCAAGTGACGTAGCAGTTTTGGATGTTTCATTGCATTAGAGAGCCGGTCTCCGCAAACTATGCAGAGCGGGGTGTGTGTAGGTATCACCTGTCGCGATAAATCCAGATTTTATGTAGTACTATGATATGGACTGCTAAACTTTTTATGTCTTGTTGGTGTTGTAGGTTCTTTTGTATTTTCACGGGTCCTTTTCATTTTCCCAAGGAAAGTTTCTAACGACATCTGTTTCACACACATTTTTCTTAATTTGTTAAATTTGAGCGCTCAAGTGACCAAGATATAACCTGGAAAGCAGAGTATCTTTAAACGCATAGCAAATGTGGAAGAAAAAAGGGAGGGAATAAAATGCAATATACACGTGCACCAAGTCCTGTGAAATATGAGAAAGTACTGGTGAACAGAGATGAAAGTGATACACTCTTCTCCACCAAAGCTATAACGCCACTGCAGCTCGCAGCCGCTCAGCTCTTGGTTAACCTCTCATCTATGCAAAGTAGTACAATCCCAAGAAAAGTACCTCACAGTAAATAAAATGGAAATAATTCAATGTCACTTGTGCAGCCCGGTACCATTTGATCCACGAACCGGTACCAGTCCGCGGCCCGGGGGTTGGGGACCACGACTGTAAACCCTCAAGCCAAACGCAAGGCGAGTCACGTGAACTCCAACTTGGAAGGGGAGACAGACCGATGGCACCCAATTTGGACAGTAGTGACTTTCAGTTCACGCTGCCAAGTCAACTTATATCCACCTCGAGCCTTGTGCCACTCTAAACCCGACAGACTAAACAAGGGCCTCCTCGGTAAGCGGCGACCGAGCATACGTAGTCCGTGTCTAAGCCAGCGCAGCTTATTCAGTGCTATCTGTTGTTCTAAGGAACTAGTTTGGTTACCACTGCCTAGTACTCGCCTACATACACCATCGTTGCGGATACGCTGGTGCCACCCGACACCAGCAATGGTCCTCAGACAACGATGATCAAAGACTTGAATTGTCTCATGTCCTCAGACCGAAGCGGTCAATTCACTTCCATAGAGTTGGACGGCCCTCACTTTGGCCTTCTAAACATGGCCTTTCAGACGGAGGGAATCCCCTTTCTGTCACCAAAAATGTCGCAGATTCGATTAGGCAGTTCTGGCTTTTGCAATGCGTGAACTGACTTTAGTTTCGGTGCGGTCATCGTTGCTAATGCAGCTGCCAAGGTAAGTGAATGGATCAACTACCTGGAGTTCAATGCCTTAAAGGGTCAAAGGGTCATCAAGTGGCTGGTGGTCCTGCAGCAACACATTGCACTTTGGATGTGTGTAGCGCATACCAAATAATGGGGATAGTCTAAACAGGGTACTCAAGGATGATTGTGATGCCCCAACATCGTTAAACAACAAGACAGCATCGTCCGCATGGACAAGATCAACTAACCTTTCACCAGGCAGAACCTCAACGTCAGCATCGTGAGGCTCCGTAAGGGAACACTCCACGATGAAGTCCACAATGAAGTTAAACTATAATGAGGAAATCGGACAACTCTGACTGACAACCCACTTGTTGTCGGACACCTATAAAACGGATCACCGTATACCTTTACGCGGCCTGTAATGTTTGAGTATAGAGCACGTGTGGTTCACATATTTCGTGAGAACACCTTTCCGCGCAAGTATTTCGAACAGAATAGATCGATTGAGTGAATCGAACGCACTCTTGAAGTCGAGGTACACAGTTATTTTCGGTCTGCGGTACGTGTGTTGCTGCTCTGGCGTTTGCCGTAGGTCGATAACCTGCCTGCTCTTCCCTAATCCGAGATTCCCGTTATGCAGTGAGGCGACGAACGAAAATTGCGGTCAGTACTTTTGTCACAATTGGCGGTAAGCTAATACCCCTGTGGTTAGCGCCGTCGGTCGACTGCCCTTCCTGTATAT